AGAAGAACCTGAGCTCATGGAGCATCTTTACGAGATAGACTGGGGAAAGAAAAGAAATTAAAGTCTATGTAGAAACAGAACAGTGAAAGAGGGCACAGAAGCCTCTGTTTGTAATCCCTTCTTGGCTGAGAATGGCTTGAAACCAGGATTGATCTCTATCTCTAGCATTTATCACAGTGTCAGCTGGATCTTAAGTGCTGCAGCAAGGTTTCCTGAATGAAGGAAGTGCCTGAATAGATGCCAGTGTTGAGAAATTTATCTCATGAAATCATGATAATACTGCTTACCTAGACACTTCTACATACTTCCAGTCAGGTAATTATGTCAGCAAGAATGGTGCCCTTTTGTTTTCCTTGTTCTTACTGGATCTTTAGGTGTCTGGTTCTTGCCACTTTGATAATATATACATATATATGCATATATTTATATGTATATTTTGACATTTTTATTTTATGCATATGAGTATACCATGTGAGTGCCTGGTGCCTTTGGAGACCAGATGATAGTGTCGGATCCCTTGGAACTGGAGTTACAGAAGTTTTTGAACCACTATGTGGGTGTTGGGAACTGAACCCAGGTCCTCTTCAAGAGCAGCCAGTGCTCTTAACCCCTGAGCCATCTCTCCAGTCCTGGAAAAATAATTCACTTAATGTATCTTTTAAATAAAAATAGATCTCTGATTTTTAAGGGCATATGCATTCTTTTAGTCTTTTGCTAAGTAATATAGGAAACTGACAAATGATTTAGTATGTCAATTTTGATAATAAATTGGGCATTCTACAGCTACACATACTAAAATCATGTTTTTCAAAAGTATTTTTTGTCAGAGAACAATGTGCTTAATGGGAAGTTAAGTGCAGTGCCATCTCATACATATAAACCCCAGCAGGCCATAGACATAACTGTGATTTTCTTCCTTGGGTTTTTGAACATATTTCAACCCCAAATTATTTATCATTCCCTCATTACTTTTGAAGTATCAAATTGAATATAAAAGAAACAGAAAAATGCTACATAGACAAAGTTTTTTTAAAATTATTTTATGTGTCTAACTGTGTAAGTGCCTGTGTTGTGTAATGCCCACAGAGGTCAGAGAGGGCATCAGATACCCTGGAACTGGAGTTACAGATTGTTGTTAGCCACCACGTGAGTGCTGGGAATCAAATCTAGGTCCTCTGCAAGAGCACCCAGTTCTCTTAATCGCTGAGCCATCTCTCCAGCTCCATCCATGATAGTTTTATGGGTTGGAATAGTTTTGTACAGGCTACACAATCTGGCAGACTGAGGAGGGTAAAAGATAAAAGAATTAACTTGTAGTATTGGAAAGAACTTACTTCCTATCTGATGAAAAAATTAGGTAATATATACAAAAAGCATGTTATTCCCTGTGCTTTGCAAGGCTTAATAAACTCCACAAAGACAGGGACTTTGTATACTGCTTTATCTCCTTTGTCCATCATATGTGTTCAATACACATTGATTAACTTGTAAACATTTTGCTTCGGTAATAATTATGTCACAGGAGAAAACTACCATTAGATAATTTATAGCTCCTCAACTACCCCAGGTTTAAATTTTAATTTCTTGTCACTCATCGGTATGCTAGAGTTTGAACCTAGGGATGTAGACATGCTGGACAAACGCTCACCCCCAGATCTTGTCATTCATGATTTAACCAATGTAGTTGACAATGCTGTTTTCTGCCCCAATAGTATGATGCATACTCTACCTCCACACAAATCTCTTGGATTATTGATGCTTTCTGCTCTTCTGTTTGAAGCCTTTAAAACGAATGTCCAGTTGAAATACAAAATCTTAATCTTAGTACTGTAACAACTTTGACCTCTCTACTACCTGCATCCTGACCACACACTCGATTCACTCATTTTGTGTCTGTCCCTAGAGACTATGCTAGTCCTTTAAATATGGCAAATACCCAGGGAATCTGCCCCCACCAACACACCATTAGTTCACGATTTTTAATTAATGAAGGCAAATCCATTTCCCGAAATGCCTCCCTTGTTCCTTATTCAGGAGCAATTGTTTTGAGTAATTCTTGTAAGTATTCTTCCCACTGAATGCAGTTTGTCCTAAAGAGTATTTCAGCTAAGTCATGATTTACTAGAAAGAGCGGGAGGGAGTACGTCATTTTCCAATTCCAGTAATGATTTGGTAATGCTTTCTTAAGACTGCAATTTCTTATGTTTCTGCCACTCCCTCCACCCCAGATCTTTTCAAAATAAACACTAAGAAATAATGATTAAATCTGGGTCTAAAATTCTAGTGCTTTTTTCTTCCTAATCATAAGTGAAAAGTGTATTTAGGAAAGCTTGTGGTCGATTACCTAAGGAGCTATATATAGGGAATTTAGCATTTAGTTTTCTTGGCCTCAAGTGCGAGGCTGGGGAAATGCCTGGGTGAGTTTGGTGATGGGCAAAGCGCTGGGTCAGGTGCAAGACTCGCAGAGATGTTTGTGTGTCCAGCCAACTATCTCCTTACAAAACCCCTCTTATTATGTCGGACCGCGCCACGGCAGAGCCCAGTTAACTCCAGCGTTGCGTTGCTGTGGCTGGCAGACCAAAATGCTTGCTCAGGAGGCGCCCGAGATTTCAATCATAAACAGACTCAGATGCATCCCAGGCACATTTATCACCTATTTTAAGGCGCCTCGGAGATCAGACAGAGCGCGACTTCGGGAGACTCTGGCCCCGGGGCAGCAGGTCGCAGAACACCTGGGCTCCCCAAGCTTTTGACTTTCCTGACACAGACCGACCGAGATAGCAGTGCGGGAAGTCGCACGGCCACACGGCCGTCGGTATTGCTTTTCCCGGTTGGCGTAGGGAAGGGACCTGGCAGCATGAGCAGCGGAACGCACCCGTAGGCAGCTCAGCCCCAGAGTTCCGCCATCGCGCACAAGCAGCTTCCAGAACGCCGCCAGCCGCTTCCCCAGATCCCGCCTCCGCCGGGGTTTCCCCGCCGCCGGCCTCATTTGCATGGCGCGCCCCTCCCCCGCTGCCATTGGCGGGCGCCGGGCTCCGCCCTCCTCCACTCCCCTCGCCGTGGCAGGGTTCCGTCCCCCGAGCGCCCGGAGCTGCGGGCAGCAGGCGGACTGTTAAACCGCGGCGGCCGGGGCGGGAGCGGGGCGCGCTCTGGAGACGAGGCAGCGGCGCTCCGGGTCGGGGGAGGCGGGCGGGCAGCTAGACATCGCCGGCAGCCCCCACCACGGCCGGACCGAAGGTGCGGCGGCGGAGGGCAGCCTGGGCGCCCCAGCAGGCGAGTGGCCGGCGTCGCAGCGGCGGGCTGAGGGGGGTGGGTCTCCTCGGCCACGGACCGAGGCAGCGCGGGGCGGGAAGAGCGAAGACCGCCGGGTGGACTCGCGGGCTCGGCGTCCTTCCGGCAGCCCCCTCGCACCCCGAATCCCCCTGGCGGTTGGACTCGGGCCCCAGCCCAGGACGGTGCTTTGGGGCAGGAGTCGGACCGTAGCCAAATTTAAACGGCTAAACCTAACAGCCTTGGCAGAAGCGGAGGGGAGGGCAGGGCAGGGCTGGGGGGCGGGGTGGGAGGCGGGCCCAGACGTGGGTCACGTGGGGGGCGGGGCTTGGCAGACGGCCCTTTTGTTTTGTCTGGCGCGTGCGCAGAGGGCGGAACACGTGGTATTTTTCCGGTTTCCCCCTCCCTCCTCTGGCCTGGGTTGCCGCGCCTCTGAGGCGACGGGTTTGTGGTGAAAGCCGCGTTCGCGGGCCAGTTACTTATTTCGTGTATTGTCCCTGCGAACGTGGGTTTGGCTTTCGACCTGTTTGGGGTGGAGGGGATTGGAGAGGTTTCCTGAGGGGTGGCGTCCGAGGTGGCGTCTCCGGCTGCGCGGAGGGAGCCGGCCTGCCTGGTGGCTTCGCGGCCCGGCAGCGGGTTTCTGGGTCCTTGTTCGGGGAGCTGGACTGAACTGTGGAAGTCCCACTCTGGTTTTGAGGTTCAACGCGAGAAGCGCCTGGTTTTCCTTAACGAGCGCTTGACTTCGTGCTGAGTTCGTGTCAGTTAGAAATGAACTTGGTAGTTCCTGTTAACGTACCAACGAGTTGGGGCGGGTGAATACCTGGACCAGACCGGCGGGTTTTGCGGGGAGGGAAAGCAGCTCTACAAATACTCCGGAAAAATCTGCTGCCCTGGGACGCAGATCCAGTCACAGCCTCACTGATAAATCTGATTCCTCTTAGAATTGTTTCATAATAGGGTCCCCGCCTTAAAAGGTAGTGAAGATCACGTGCCTCGAGTTAGTAAAAGTTACTGTGTTTACTAAAGCTACAAATACAGAAATCCCTCAGTAATACGGTATTGTGACAGAGTTGTTTTGTTTCATTTTTAAAGCCAGCATGTTTTAGGAACACTGAACAAGCCGTGAAACAGAGGCAATTATTTGAGTTTCTTAAAAATCCTATTGCACTTCGTTTTGTTTCTGGGTATATAGCCCAGGCTTCCTGAGGGCTGACACTACAACTCTTGTAGTTTTTCCTTTGCTTCTCGCACTCTCCAATACACAGTCTGTTGAATTCTTCGTTGTTTTGATCTACATATGTTGTCATTACTCCCCTCTGCCAGCTTTCTAGAGTAAGTTGTTATTTTAGACAGGGTCTCCGTTGCTCCTGCTGGCCTGGAACTCAAGTATGGACACCAGGCTGGCCAGATCGCATGGAGATCTTGTTTCAGAGTGCTGGGATAAAAGGCGTGTGTTACGACGCCACGCCGGACTCTTAATTTCTTAACTGTGAAACTCTTTAATTTAGGCCAGTCACATTTTTTTGTTGTTGTTTGTTTGTTTTGTGTGTGTGTGTGTGTTTTTAGGTCTTTTTGGGTCTCCCTGTAGCCCCAGCTGGCCTGGAACTCACTATGTAGACCAGGCTTGTCTGGAGCTCTTGAGAGATTCCCCCTGCCTCTGCCTGAAGTCTGGGATTAAAGGAATGCGCCTGGCTCCCATAATCACATTCTTTCATTCACAGTTTTTACTTATGACATGTACCTTTTCAAATAACAATTCTTTATTATGTGTTATAAAATTATTTGGACAGTTTTGTATAATCTGTATTTTCCAATGCATATAATGCAGTTTTTTCCTGAAACGAGGGATCATACAGTAGTTGCCGTTAACTTTAACTCAAAAACATTAAATATTAAATAGCATTAAGTATCCTTTGAAATATATATATATATGTGTGTATATATCTATATCTGTATATAGATATATACACACACACATATGTTGATCTTTTTTGAGACAGCAGCTCCCTGTAGCCCCAGTTGGCCTGGCACTCATTATGTAGACCAGGCTGGCCTCCATCTCACTTAGATCCATCTGCCTCTGCCGCCCACAGGCCGGGAGTAAAAGTGTGCCGTCACGGCTGGCTGAAAAACATTTTTTAATAGCTGCCTAACATTTCATTGTGTGTGTATTGCATTTTAAGATTTTCCCATTGAATATCAACTTTTCTAATGCTTTACATATCCCTGTTCCCCTTGTGTTTGTAGAATTTCTGAGGTAGAGTCTGTTTTTGTTTTTTTCTGCTTTGTGACAACCAACTTTGAAGAATGTGGTATTGATTTCTTCGCATAGTGGTATGAGCTTGCCTCCTGTTACATCTTTGTTCATCATCCAGTATTAGCTTTAGATGAAAAACCTTGTTTTAGTTTGCATTTAACTTTTCCCAGTAACATGTGTGGGTTATCTCTCTTATTTCCCAAGGTAAAGGCAGGGGAGAGAAAACTTTCACGTTTATGTGCTGCAGATCACATAATGTTTGGAAAATAAATACTTGCCAATTGGCTGATATTTAACTTTATTTAACTTTATTTTTACCCATGAAAGTTCAGGAAATTGTCTTCTGTGTTTTGTCTTACTCAGTTTAGGAGTATGTTGTTGACAAAATAGTAATTGCTTGATTCATTTGAGTGCTTGTTTTTTAAGGTGAGGCCTCAATGATTGATCAGGGTTTTCTGTTAAAAGGGTCTTGACTGCTGGTAGATCCAAGAGGTTCATCTAGTTTTGCTGCTCTTTAGCATTGCCTGCTTGCTTCACTTCTTTTACTTGTTTTCCTATCTTCTGTGGAGTTGATTTGATGTTAATTCTGATCATTCTGCTTTCTCTTGTAGCTTCTGTGTTAACACAAAAAAGATTAGTGTCTCAAGATCTTTATTTCAAATTGGTCTTGACAGACCACCTGTTACTGCCTATAAGCATCCTTTACTGCCCTTTAGTCTCTCACAAAAACCTCATAGGTAATGTGCAGTTGTTTTCATGGTGTCTTTCATGTATTCATTTAGTGGTTTCTTGTTCATTTCCCTTTAATTTTGTCTTTACTGTATTAGGTGTTAGTGAAGGAGGCAGAAAGCTGTTTCTTCAGGCTTAGGGTTTGTCAAACTATTACAGCAAGGAATGGGGCTGCATGCAATGCAAGTGACAACTAATAGAGAATTAGCAACCAGTTTATGACTAAAACATATCATCTCTTGTTTTTAAAGTCTTTACTGCCCTACAGTAGCATAATAGAATATCAAACATGATGGCTCTGTATCATACAGTTTTCCACATTTTCATTCAGTATGTTACATTTAGAAAGACAAAGACACTATGTAATTTTCTAAAGATTTTTCCTATTTTTTTCTCCCTCTGCCTGCCTCTCTCTCTCTCTCTCCCTCTCTCTCTCTCTCTCTCTCTCTCTCTCTCTCTCCCCCTCTCTCTCTCTCTTTTGTCTTTTTGAGACAAGGGTCTTCCTTTAGCTCCAGCTGGCCTGGAACTGGCTATGTAGACCAGGCTGGGCTTGAATGAACTCACAGATCTGCCTGCCTCTGCCTCCTGTGTGTTGGGATTAAAGACATGCCCCATGACTCTTGCCTATGTTTTTTTCTCAAGTATTGCCATAAATAGATACCTCGCTGAATTTTGGTCCTTTCCTAGTCATGAAGGATAAAACAAAAACAAAACAAAAAAACACCTCATGTTAATAAAAAGAATAATATACTTGCCAGTCAATAATGTGTAATGAAAATCAAAAATGATTTTCATTTTTTGTACTTTTGTTTTTCTGAGACAGGGTGTCACTGCTAGGTCTGAGCCCACTTGGAAGTCACAGTGTAACTCAGGCTATCCTGGAAGTTATCTTCTTGCCTCCTCCTCCCTCCTGTTGGAATTTGGCCATAGTGGAAAATTTTAATACTATATGCTATTTATTTTTGGAAACATTTGTTTCTATAGAGATGTGAAAATTCAATTATAACACTGAAACTTTTTTTTTTTTTTAATTGGTCTTTTTGAGACAGGGCCTCCCTGTAGCCCCAGCTGTCCTGGAACTCCCTATATAGACCAAGCTGGCCTTGAACTCACAGAGATCTGCCTGCCTCTGCCTCCCGAGTGCTGGGATTAAAGGCGTGCACTACCACGCCCGGCATAACATTGAAACTTTAAAAATACTTTTTAAGTATTCAAGAACATCGTGTTTAGGCTTCCTTTCCAGCTCTATAAGGCCCAGAATTCTTAAGTATGTTTTTAGTAGTTTAAAGAAAACTGCTTGGTAGTAGGTCATTTTTCAATGTTGAGCAATATGAAGTTAAATTGAAGCCAAAATGAATAGACCGAGCAAACATGATAGTGCACTTTTAAATGTAAATGTCTACATCCACATGATGCACACTGGAAAAAAAAAACCCAGCTGCATGTATATTCTTATGAGTCATGCACTTACGACTGAATAATAATTCCGCTTCAAGTATGATGTTTGATCTGTTATGTGGCCACCCAAGTGGCTTTTTCGTCAATTAAATTCCTTTAGTCTTCAAAGAGACTTCCTTTTTAGGCATAGTTTTCAAAGTGGAAGAAGCTCTTGCTTATAAACATCATAGACTACAAAGTGCTGAGCTAACTGTACCCTGCTCATGCCAATTACTGCAGCATTTTGCAGTAAATTGAGAATTCTCCTAAAAGAAGGCGGCATAAAGAAATCCAGAAAATAGAACACTATTTTGTATTTCTAGCTTTCATTAATTTCTAATTTTTTGGTACTTAACCTGGGGGTTGGAGAAATGAGTAATAGTTAAGAGTGTGTATTGCTCTTCCAGAAAACCCAAGTTCCCAGTACACCCATTGGGTACCTCACAACTTCTTGTGACTCTAGCTCCAAGGGATCCAACAACCCTCTTCTGTCCTTAGCGGGCACTGCACGCACATGCACGCGTGCGTGCACACACACACCACACATGTGTGCGCGTACACGCGCACCCCACATACACAT